AGAATTGAGCTTTCCTTCGGTGGTAAAAAATTCCTTCCTGATCCCCCAAGAGGCAATTGGATATTCCCTGGATCAACTTTACCTATAAATGTTAGTATCCAGTTATATTCTGTGTATCTAAGAAAGAATTCAGGTCTTTTTTAAAGCAATCCACCAAGCTGGCCAGAACCAACTCTTGGGAGTCTATTCCACATTTTCACAGCTTTCACTGTGAAGAAACCTTTCCGTGTTTGGAGATTAAATTTCATTTCCTCCATATAGATTATCATTAAATGTAAAGTTGCTGTAAACCTCAGACCTGAAATATGAACAAAGCATATACCTCTATCTAAACTAAAAAAAAAAGACTTGTGGCTTTAGAACAGTGGTCCCCAAACTGTGGCTCTTGGGCCACATGCATCCCTTTGCTTGCCTTTAACCACTTTCCCTCCTGAGGATTTCCCCCCCTTCCTGACCAGGCCATTGTTTGCGTTACGGCGCTGCGTTACTTTAACTGACGATTGAGTGGTCATGCAACGCTGCACCCAAATGAAATTTACATTTTTTTTCCCCATGAATTGAGCTTTCTTTCGGTGGTATTTGATCGCCTGTGCATTTTTCTTTTTGCGCTATAAGCAAAAAAAGACCAACAATTTTCAGAAAAAAAAGCAATATTTTAGACTTTTTGCTATTAACCATGTTCAGTAAAAAAATTATAAAAATCTCTCTCTCTAGTTTCAAATGGTAAAGTGGCATCTCTACTTACCTTCTAAGGATTACTTGATTTGTTTTCTATTGTTTATTTTTATTTTCACTTAGAATGAAGTGTCTTGCTGAGTGTCGGACCATAGGACCGCACTAGGATCCTGCCTAAGCTCATTGTCACCTGAATTGCTGCCATACAACCAAAGCTTTGATAATTGACAGGTTAACCCTCCTCCAGCAGCCTGCACATTCAATCTGAGACAAACTTTATGTATCAAGAATGAATTACTCCAATGAATTAGGTAGTTTCATAACCCTTACCAGGTGCAAACGAGCCTTCTCCATATCCGAGATAGGCAACGATGTATGGTTCGTTGAGGGTGATCCAGAACTTCACTCTGTCCCCCAATCTCTGGAAGAGCAGATCCGCGTACTCTCTAAATCTCTCCACTATAGTTTCATTTTCCCAGCCACCTACATTCTGCAGAGCTTGTGGCAGGTCCCAGTGATATATTGTCACCTGGATGTAAAGATATATATTTGTCTTACTGTCAAGTGTTGATAAAGTGAGCTAGATGGTGATTGGACATTACAAACACTGAGCTTGAATATAAAATCTTTCCCCATAGCATAAGCAATCAAGGCACAAAATCCATCTTGGCCAATCACTAGCTTTCTCCTGAGAAATGGTTGGCAGATGGTGCTTTCTGCTACCTGTGAACATAGTTACATAGTTAGTCTGGCTGAAAAAAGAAAAAAGTCCATCCAGTTCAACCATTAAAAAAAAAAGTGATAATCCTATACCCACGGTTGATCCAGTGGAAGGCAAAAAAAAAATCCCCAGCAAAGCATAATCCAGTTTTCTCCTGCAGGGGAAAAAATTCCTTCCTGATCCCCCGAGAGGCAATCGGATATTCCCTGGATCTACTTTACCTATAAATGTTAGTATCCAGTTATATTCTGTGTATCTAGGAAAGAATCGAGGACTTTTTTAAAGCAATCCACTGAGCTGGCCAGAACCAACTCTTGAGGGAGTCTATTCCACATTTTCACAGCTCTCACTGTGAAGAAACCTTTCCATGTTTGGAAATTAATTTTTTTTTCCTCCATATAGATTATCATTCAATTTGAAGTCGCTGTAAACCTCAGACATGAAATATGAACAAAGCATATCCCTCTATAGTGTGTACTTGTCTCAATCTACAGCACCGAGTGTAATTTCTGTCTGCTGCCTTTTTCCTCTTATCTCATGAATCACTTCTGACTTTTGCTGACACCTAGACAAAAAAGGTGAGGGACCTCCGACACACAGCATGTGATTGACAGCCTCAATTCCTGTGTGGAGGGGGGGGGGGGGGTGTCACTTCCCTCTAATCAGAGACCAGAGCTCCCCTCACTGATCTCTACAGTGGGTACCTTCAGCTCCCCTCCCCCTGCTTTTCAGAGCTGAAAGATCCTGTGTAAAGTCTCCACTTTGAACAGATGTAGAGAAGAGATGGCAGCAGATAAACGAATACAACTTACGTAGCAGGATTTATTTCATCTCTGTGTATCGCCTGAGGCTAATCACTTCACTGGGTATATGTAAGGTATAACAACCACTTTAAACTAGACATATGTTATGGTATATTGAAGCCATTTTAAACAGATGGATGAATAGAGTAAAAAAAGCAAGAAAATATATACAATTCCTGGAGAAAATGCTGTTTGAGGCTCCCTTCAGAGCTTGTCTCTTGATCAAAAGCCCAGACCTTTAGTTAGAAGAAAGGGAGAATAAATGTTCAGATCTCCTGATCCTCACCTTCAGCAGAAACCACTTGACCAAACACCCAAGCTCTTGGTCATGTGACCAGCACTAGCCGAAGTCTAAAGCAGTATATTTGCCTGTCCGAGCAAGGCTGAAGTGACGGAATAAAGTTAGATTTTCTGCCAAAATGACCTTGTCCTTGGACACAAGAGCCAACAAGGTAGCAATGAAAGGTTGTGTCAAGGCTTGAACACCTTTAATTTACGGTTGTGTCACTAAAGAGGGAATCCTGCAATCATAAGGATGAATAAAAGAATGTTTGACTTTAGCTAACTTGTGGTCATCAGTGTCCTCTTTACTGAAAAGGAAAAAACCTTGAAGTTTGAAGATACGAGTTGAAGTGTACAAGTATCTTCTAGCTGAGCAGATATTATGGTCAACAACGGGAACAATAAATGTTTGCCTTACCTGGGGACCAATACCGGCATCCAGTAAGGCATCAATGAGCCGAATGTAGTAATTGAGCCCTGGTTCATTCACAAAGTTTGTTGTACCATCTGGAAGAACCCTGGGCCAGGAGATGGAGAAGCGGTAGTGGGGTGGCCTTCAGACTCTTTAGCATCTCTATATCTTCATCAATCCGGTTGTAACTGTTGCAAGCTACATCTCCAGTCCCTCCATCTATAATCTTGGACGCTGTGTGTGAGAATTGGTCCCAGATGCTGATCCCTTTCCCGTCTGCCCTCCAAGCTCCCTCAATCTACAGGTCAGGATGCAGATAGGGTTAGGGCACAATACATTCCTGAGTACAAGTTCAATTATGAACTAGTGATTTAATAAGATATCAAAAAGAATAAGAGTGGTCTGAAGTTGGTGGATCATCCATTTGTGCACACTGTCCAATCCACAACAACCCTATGGTAATTTAGGTGGACCATTTCCACATGGTGTGGGTCTGTTAGGTACTGGGACCCCTCCTGCTGTTACGTAGACCTGGACCCTGCTCACTTCTAGGGTTCTATGGCAAGTGAGAGAAAATTTTCATGATGTGCTATCAACCCCACCTGTCAAATAGAATATAGTGAATGCAAAGGCCTATATCTGATTTACCCACTAAGGCTGGATTTACATATTTTGGTAACAGGCATTAAAATGTTACTAAAACCAGGACACTGAATTCACTATATCTGGTCTCCCACAGTACACAGAACATGGAAATGCAATTATTTTAGTAAATATAAACTGCTAAATACCTTTTCTCATCAGCAGCATATAGCAGTCTTGTGACTTCTATCAGTGACCAGCTGAGAACTGTTAATCTAGTAGGAGGAGTTTTCATTCTTTCTGACTGTCCTATGAGGCTGCATAACCCCTGACCCTCTGTCTAGACAGCGCTGATTGGCCCTATGCAATACACACCACACAGATTATGTGTAGACTTGCCACTGCTGCTCTAACTATGGCAGGTGGATTGGGGACAGCATAAGAAGGGGAGGATCAGAGAAGACAGGATCAAACTGCCTTTTTACATAAAGCATAGAATTAACCCCTTAGGTTCCAAAGTGAGTATAACAAGCATGCTTTACTGCATATACAGACTTTTACTGTTGTGGGTTTACTGAAAGAATTCCAGGTATTGCATTTTTTCATAGTTGCATTGCTGGATACAACATAGTAACAAGCTGGATATACCATACCCCTGGAATCCTCATGGAAGCTGAAAATTATTGCAGTAGGCACCACTACTACAGTGGTCACTCCGAGCTTCTTAGGTCCTGTGTGAAGCGGTGTCCTGCTGCATTGTAAATGCAGGAGGTTAGCTGCTTGGCACAGGCACTATTCAGAAAATTATTGGCATTTTCTCAATGAACGCAAAGAATTCTCTGATTGGACGAGTTGAGAGCGTTGTCAGTACCCTGTTTCTCCACCTTGTTCAATTGAAGAACGCATTCTCTGAATTGCATCTGAGCCTGCCACTTCCTGTGTTGGTGAGAACCATTTCCTTACCGGGAACACCAGCAGCAATAAAAACCTTGCACAGCTTCCAACTTCAACTCCATCCAAACTAAGGAAGAGTTTTGGCCAGAGTTGGCCAGAGTTCCATATTAAGAAGGCAGGTAATCATTTTCAATGTACAGCAAACTGCAGCAACCAGTCACAACTTATCTTTACTCACGTGACTACAGTGACCTGACACCTGATCAAATGCACATATTTGCCAGCACACCTAGGAGCATCTAACTACATCCAAATCTTTATTGAAGAATAATCACATCACAGAAACATAGTGTGGTCACATGCCTGATGAAGGGGTCCTGCTCCGAAACGTTGCACTATGTGTCTGTGATGTGATCATTCTATAAAGAGTTGGACGTAATAGGATGATCTATGATGTGCTGGCGAAAAAATGTGCATTTGACCCACGATGTCTTCAGTTCCAGATGGTTGTTGCTACAGCACCCGCTACTCCTAAAGCCTTATCCAAGAAAGTGTGTGATGGGAATATTGATATTTCATTATCTGACATCTGATCAGTCACTGAGGAAAATACTGTACATGCTTATGCCTGTCATGGAAACCATTTGCCAGGGAAAAAAGATTGTCCAGAAAACCACCATTGCTGTACCTGATAAGCAGAGGAGGCCACACCCCAAGCGAAGTCCGGGCGGAATTCGTCAAGCAGGAAACCATCATCTCTAGACTGTACTATTCCGTTGTCATGTATCACCTCGGCGTAATAAATGGCTGTGCGCTTGGCTGTCCTTGGGCGATTGGGATTATTGAAATCCACATGATGAAGTCCAAACCGAAGTCGATATCCTTGTTCCCACTCAAAGGTGTCCATTAATGACCACGCACAGTAACCCTTTAGATCGACACCATCCAGGCTATAAGCTTCACAAAAGAAACAGGAACATTTTTCAAAATCAAATTTTATAGATTTCTAGGAACATCTTCTAGTACAATCATCATCCTTGATGAGCGACTGCTGTGAGAAATCGTTTACAAGTGAGTATTGTTTTCACTATACACTTATTGACAGAGCTCCTGCCTTTCCTGATCTCTGTGTTGGGCTTTAATACTGTGAATCACTGATCCAGAGACACCACTACAGCACTCTGGCTTTCCAGCAGGGGATTTAAAGAAAGCAGCTCTGGGTGCAATACTTACATCCTCCAGAGAGTGGCGCTGTAGTTCATTTCTGCTGCTAAATGTCCCCATCTTGTGGTTTGAGCGATGCCCAATGTTATTCAACCCTGATGACATCAATTGATGGCAAGGCGTCATAGACTGGGCATCACCATGACGCACTGCACTTACATAAAATGATGCAGGGAGAGAAATCATCAGTACTGCCATCTGTATCAATAAGTGATAGTAAAGGCTAAATGTTTTAAATAAAAGAGATGTTGTGTTTACCTGCTCTGTGAAATGATATTGCACAGAACATTCCCTTACCTCCCCTTCTGGAAGTCCCCCTCCAGTGCTGTCTGCTCCTTCTTCCTTCGAGTGCCCTATACTATGGGGGCACCTGTGCAGACGCACTCCTGAGCGGTGCTGTGTGTGTCCATAGACACACAGAGCACTGGTAAGCCATGCCCCTGCTCGCTCCTCACAGGAGTCTGACTGACAGCAGCAGAAATTCAGGCAGGCTCCAACTGCCTTGCTAGAACAAGTAGTTGGAGTGGCCAGTTACCTTAAGGCAGAGTATGCATTACAGTAAAAACCTTTTGGGTTTAGAACCAATTTATTGGCTGTCCATTACAGGAGAGGATCTAAAAAGGACCTTGTGTGTTCCATGTCTGACCTAAAGATACCTGGAAAAGGTTGAGGGGTCTTTATTCCAGGGGAATGAGAGCCGCTTATCTGCATACTTGTTCTAGGCCAGTGACTTGGGAAGTAAAACCAGCAGGCCAGCATGACCACTGGACAGGTAGACAAATTTTCAAAGGGAAGTCATCTGTGGCATAATACTGTAAATATGTAGATGGTCCTCTCATGACAGACTTCCTTTAAAAGGTAGCTTCTGAACAGGGGCGGACTGACCATTTGGAAACTCGGGCACTGCCCGAGGGCCCGGGGTCAGTAGGGGGCCCCATGAGAATACCCTGGTACCTTTTTCATAGGCTTTTTTGAGTTTGGGCAAGGACACAGGGGCCCCATGAACCTCTATTGCCCAGGGGCCCCATGGGTTGTCAGTCTGCCCCTGATTCTGAATAATCTAGGTATTGGAGAACCGTGAGCCTTTCATCAGCTTAAAATGTCTGCTAGTGTTTATCATTGAAAAAAGAGCATTGATTTTGTGAGATGTGTTAGATAGACAGATAGATAGATAGATAGATAGATAGATAGATAGATAGATAGATAGATAGATAGATAGACTGTTTACAGACCTTTCAATGCTTCATCAATGTATGTCTTGTAATATTCTATTCGGGCAATGTCATCAAAATCTGGGTTACTGTCCATCGAAAGTCCACTTTCAGTGACATAGATTGGGACATCTCCGTACTCTTCTTTAACCCAATTAAGCAGCCTCCTCATCCCCCAGGCTACTGCCCTGTAAACATCATAAAAAGCTGTGGTAGGCCAACTATCGTCAAATCTTTCTACTATATCAATATCAGCATTGAAAGACGGAGGGTGCAAGCTGTTAATTGTCTGCTGAACTATTTTGGTGGTGTAGATGTTAATACAGAAAACATCAGCTGTGCCCTGGATGTAGGCCTTCTCTTCATCTGTAAAAGCAGGAAGTCTGGAGGATGAGAGACCCTGTAGTGCACTCTTGTTGGCCACTTGCCACTTCATGGCCTCTGGATAATCGCCATTTATGAATATGGGGTGAGCAAACCACCCCAGTGTGAACTGTAGGTAACGGTCAGCGGCTTCAATGTCCTTTGGATCTGTTTGGTCATTGGGTTCCACCCAATTTGTGTTGAGGCTTAATGAGATCACACCTTGTTGGTTCCCTCGATAATTATCATCATATGTGTGGTATACTCTGGCATGGGCTCTTAACAAGTTGTGACCTATTCTGTATGGAGCATAGCCAGGGTCTTTTACTGCAGGTGGGTGTACACCAGTACCATAGCCAGCTGTTGCAATAGTGTATGGCTGGTGGAATGTCATCCAGAACTTGACCCTATCTCCAAATGTCCTAAAGCAAAAGTCAGCATAGTTATTGAAGGCTTCAATAACGGTATCATTCTCCCAGCCACCCAAATCTTGGAGAGCTTGGGGAAGATCGAAGTGGTAGAGGGTCACCATTGGAGAAATGTTACTTGCTAGTAGACCATCAATGAGTCTGTTGTAGTAGTCAACACCTTTGTCATTGGCCGTGCCTTGTCCAGTTGGAAATATTCTAGACCAGGAGATGGAGAAACGATAACTGTTCACTCCTAAGCCTCTAAGCATGTATAAGTCCGCATCTAGCTGGTGGTAACTGTCAGATGCTATGTCCCCATTACCATTTGCAAATATATTTCCAGGTACATGTGTAAATGTGTCCCATATACTGGGTCCCTTTCCATCTTCATCCCATGCTCCTTCCACCTGGTAGGCTGATGTGGAAACCCCCCATTTGAAATCTTCTGGAACAGCTGCATAATGATACATGTCTCTTTCGAAGGTTGTCTGCCCAGAAAACTTCTCCCACACAACTTTTGCCTTTGAAGGAACTTCCGACGCCGAATGGGAAGCCAGCTTTTGAGACTGCTGCCATTTTGGACTTGAAAGCTTTTTGTCAGTTTTGAGACTTGGAAAGCCGTTGTTCTTAATAATGGTGGAGTATGAATAGGCGGACGCTTTCGGGGTCCGTTGTCTGTTTGAGTTTTGGAAATCAACGTGATGTAAGCCAAACCTCTGGCTATATCCCTCAGGACCCTCAAAGCCATCCAAGAGAGACCGGACTATGTATGATCTTATAATCACACCATCAGAATTGAATGCTGAAAGTAAAATAAGGAGGCACAAAGGTCAGAATATGTAAAAATATTTAAGGCAGGGTGAAGAATTACTTATTGTATCAAACGAATACTCCCATAAAGCATGACAAATGAACATTTAAAGCACCACTGGGTGGGAAGCAATATGTGGCGGCAGGTATGAAGTGAGTGCATCCTTAGCCAGCAGGCTACCAAACCTTTCTGACATGGCTAAATGTTAACCCCAGCCCAGCCCATGTAATTAGTACTCTGACAGTGTATAGCATTATCTGATCTCTGTATTGATGTCACTGGTGATGTCAGTGGCAGTTAGTCAGCCCCCAGCGTAAGTTAGTGTCAGATTGCCTGCCGCACTATCACAGTCCCTTTATAAGTCGCTGATCATGTCCATTAGTAGTATGAAAAATAATGAAAAAAATTTAAATTCCAGTATTTATACTATAGTTTGCAGGCGCTATAACTTTCACACACACCAATCAAAATACACTTGTAGCAGAATACATTTTATCCAAAACGTATGAAGAAATTTTTAATGTTTTTATTGGATATGTTTTAAAGCAGAAAGTAAAATATATTGTGTTTATTTTCTAAATTTCCGGTCATTTTTCCTTTATATCGCAAAAAAAAAAAAAAAAACCCAGTGGTGATCATATACCACCAAAATAAAGCTCTATTTGTGTGTGAAAAGAATTATATAAATTTTATTTGGTACAGCATTACATGACAATTACCAGTTAAAATATTGCAGAGCTGAATACCAATAAATGGCGTGGCAGCCCTGTAGCAATTATGCTATGGGGTGGTCTTAAAGTGGTAAATCATCAAACAAAAAAACCCATTGGCTGTTTCTTAAGTTGAAGGATTGATTGTGCATGTGGCTGCGGGGCAACTACAGGAAAAGACCAAGGGACCTATAGAATTGCTGGCTCCTATGGGGGTACTGCTACATGGCCATTCAGTAACTGCCTGCCCATACAAGAGGTACAGGCAGACAGATGACTGCATGTCTGCAGTATCCTGACAATGCAGGATCTACAGATTGTGGGTGCAATGCTTTATAGGGTTCAGAGTTAAAAAAAAAATACATGCATATTTTTTACAAAAAACAAAAAGAAAGCGCCAATCAACAATAATTAATCCTGTAAAGCTGCAAACCTCTAACCCAAAATATTGGTGAAAAGTAAAAAACACAAAATCGGAATGCGCTTACATCATATCAAAATTTCATATATCGTGCAAAAAAATGTCCAAACGCTATGAATTTATATTGTGAAAAAAGTCCCCAGTGAACCTCTTTATAAATTATTATTCATATACAAAAGTCCAACATCCCAAAACATTTCTTCTTGAAAACAAATAAATCCACCGTGCTTAATCCACCACCAGATGAATGGAATAAACTCACCAGAGCTTAATGCTGATCAAATTATAAATCAGCAAAAAGCGTATTTGCTCTGGGAGCGATGAGAAAATCCAAAGAAGCACCCCTCTGTAATTTGAAATCCAGACACCAGGAGCAATACTCTGCAGCCACTCTGCTATGGCCAGGACTTTTTATACATCGATCATCCTCCAAATAAATGGCAGTATCACTCAGAAATAAAGGAAAGGCATGATGGTGCAGTAAGTAAAAACATATATTTATTAAAAATTCATCTTACTCACAAAGCAAGTGTCCACCTGACACTGGTATAAACAAGCGGCAGAGATATAAGGAAGCATATAATGGACGAACTCCGTTCACCGCGGACACCTCGCCGACAGTTGCCGGGAACGTCCTGACGTCATCCAATAGGCTCCGCCCTACGCGTTTCGTCACTCTGACGTCCGCTCCGTGAGGACGTCAGAGTGACGAAACGCGTAGGGCGGAGCCTATTGGATGACGTCAGGACGTTCCCGGCAACTGTCGGCGAGGTGTCCGCGGTGAACGGAGTTCGTCCATTATATGCTTCCTTATATCTCTGCCGCTTGTTATACCAGTGTCAGGTGGACACTTGCTTTGTGAGTAAGATGAATTTTTAATAAATATATACAGTTTTTACTTACTGCACCATCATGCCTTTCCTTTATTTCTGAGTGATACTGCCATTTATTTGGAGGATGATCGATGTATAAAAAGTCCTGGCCATATCGCAGAGTGGCTGCAGAGTATTGCTCCTGGTGTCTGGATTTCAAATTACAGAGGGGTGCTTCTTTGGATTTTCTCATCGCTCCCAGAGCAAATACGCTTTTGCTGATTTATAATTTGATCAGCATTAAGCTCTGGTGAGTTTATTCCATTCATCTGGTGGTGGATTAAGCACGGTGAATTTATTTGTTTTCAAGAAGAAATGTTTTGGGATGTTGGACTTTTGTATATGAATAATAATTTATAAAGAGGTTCACTGGGGACTTTTTTCACAATATAAATTTATAGCGTTTGGACATTTTTTTGCACGATATATGAAATTTTGATATGATGTAAGCGCATTCCGATTTTATGCATATTTTTTACCTGCAAAAATATGTGCATTTTTTTTTTTTTTTTTTACACAGAGGCCTTAGCCTTTTAAATGAAGGCCCTCCCCTTAATTAAAGTTCATTCTCTTCCTACAATGGCTTGCTGGATACATAGCAAAATAGGGGTCCCTAGAATTTTTTAAAAAAGTATTGGCAACAGCAAAATTAGAAGTGTTATGAAGACAGATTGAGCCCCTTGGGTAAGCCTAATAGAATGTCAGTTTGCCCATACAGAGCAAAGTGGTAGGTTACCCTAATATATCACCCTCACCCACAGACACTCACCTCCCTTGCACTCCCCCCCTATCTCTGTCCACTGTGGGTCTAAAGCGGGTCACACATGGATGGAAACTTGGCCGGTTCAGCAATGTATGGACCAGCTGGTTGTACACAAGTCTATCGATCAACTTGAGAACAACCAGCCTGTTGGGTTTTTACTTGAATGATCAGTGCCGCTGGCTATAGCCGGTAACACTGATCATTGTATTCTTATGGTGGCAGAACACAATAGCACTATGGGAGAAATTCCCCCATCCACACTTAAAGGGTGGATGGAAGAGTCAACAGATTTTTGTATTGGTGAATGAAAAAATTTACAATGTAAGGTCTACCTAAATCTTCCCCCCAATGTAAGAATGTTTGATCCTGGCTGGCTATACATGGGTCGAAATTCGACCGATTTTTGGTCCGAAAATCGGACCTAAGAATAATCGGCTGATTTTCGCTCTGCTAGTGGGTCAATGGCACCGGCCGATTTTCGTGGTTCCTCCCCTTTTTTGGTGATCGGGCATGTTGGAAAATTTGTGAAAAATTACCAATTTTTGACTCAATGATGGTCAAATCGTACGATCGTTTTTCCGAAAAGAATATGCGCATGAGCTGTGACCTGGAAGGAACATAAGTTTTGCATGTTATATGGGGTGAACTTTATGACTTGGTCGGCCGATTTTTGAAATCAATGATGGTACCATCAGATTACTGAGCGAACGACGTTTCCGATTTTCGGACGAAAAATTGTTTGGAATTTGAACTATGTATGGTCTGCATAAAAGAAGGTCACATGCTCTCCTATACTAGAATAATCAGGTATTTATGAGGGCTCCGACAGGTTGACAACTGAGTGGCAGAGGGAGGTAACTATCAATGAGCTGAGGCAGGCATTCAATAGAAATGATTGTATATTGAATGTGCAAAGTGACAGATTCTCTTTAAATTCAAATTCTCAAGCCCTTTAAATTTCACATTTCTTAATAAATGGACATTACCTTTAAGCGCCTCATTGATGTAGGAGGTCAGGTACTGCACTCTGTCCGTGTCATTGAATACATCTGCCATACTGGATGTTGGCATTCCATTGCCAGTTATGAATATTGATATTACTGCTTTCCCATACTCTTCCTTGACAAAATTCAAAATCCTCCTGAGCCCCCATGGCACAACAGAGATCCATGGAGAGGCGGTGGTTGGCCAGGATGGATCCACATGTGTAGTAAACCCACCAATGTTTTCATAGCTGGGCTCACAAGGAGAGCTGCTAGAGACATTGACCAGCCGGGACGTGTAGTGCGAGATCCCAAGGAAGTCTGCTGTACCTAGAATATAAGTTTTCTCTGCTTCAGTGAAAGTGGGCAATGGGGCCACTATGGTGGGGCACTGTGTGGTCTTCTGGTGTACCTGTGCCTTCAGAACCTCTGGGTAGTCTCCATTCAACAGAATAGGATGAGCGAACCATCCCAGCATGAACTGGACATATCGCTCTGCAGCGCTCACACTTTCTGGGTCATTGGGGTTAGCCGGCTCTGCCCAGTCTGAATTCAGAGAGATGCCCACCGCTCCATATTGCTCGGCACGGTACTTATCATCAAAGACATGCCAGGCCCTTGCGTGAGCCTTCACAATATTATGGGTCACCTGTGAAAATGACAGAAGAAAGCATCTTACTGAGCAGGCAGTTTTGCTTACAGAATGACATATCGTAAAATTTCAAATATGGCTAAAATGTAGGTGAAGCCAAAACGTTTTCCATGTTTTGGATAGGATTGGGATTACAATCCCTGAATGATTTTACTGCTATCCAGAAGGAGTGGATTTCTCTTACTTTAGGAAGCTATCCTCTCACACTTTTCAGTTGTACCTAAAGTGGTTGTAAACCCTTACATATACCCAGTGAAGTGACTGGCCTCAGGTGATACACAGAGATATAACAAATCCTCTTACATAGGTTGTACCTGTTTATCTGCAATATTCTCTTCTCTACATCTGTTCAACATCACAAATTTATTAGGCTTGTCTGAGCTGTCAGAAAACAAGGGGCGAAGAGCTGAAATTACACACTGCAGAGCTCAATGAAGGAGAGCTCTGAAAGCTGGTTGGAGGGAAGACACATGCCCCTTCACACAGCACACAGGAACAGAGCTGAGGTTGTCAATCACAGGCTGTGTGGTAGAGATCCCTCCTGTGTCGCCATTTTTCTCTTGGTGTCAGTAAAATGTGTCAAAAGTGACTCATGCTGATAGCAGAGGAACAAGTCAGCAGACAGAAATTACATTAAGTGCTCTGACAAGTACACACTTTAGAGGGATATGCTTTGTTCATATTTCACGTCTGAGGTTTACAACCACTTTAAGACAGAATGTGAAAGGGAATCACCTCAATGGGATAGAGGTGGAAAAAAACACATCCTATCTTATCTGATCACTTTACACTTAACCCCTAAAATCAGCCCTTAAAACCCAATCCTGAGAAAAAAAAAAAAAAAAAAAGAGTCTCCCTTAAGGTGTTGGCTGCAATACTCACCTCCTCTCTGATGATGTCTGGCGGTGCGGATTCAGTGCGGTTCTAAAAAGAGTCATGTCTGATTTCTGAGCAGTGCGGTCCAGTTCAGGTATGGATTACAGGCTATTGAATTCTATGGGAACTGTTCCTAATGTGCGTATGTGTGAACAAGATAAGATCCCGAGCTAATCCTGTCCTGAACCTGATGGAAACCTGACAAACCTGACATGAACCTGTGAACAACTGCTGTATCAATTAGCTGTGAAACCTGAGCTTCAATCTGCACTGCACATGTGTGAGAGCTGATTCACATATATGAGGTACAGATTGAAGCTCAGGTTTCACAGCTAATTGATACAGCAGTTGTTCTCAGGTTCATGTCAGGGCTACATCAGGTTCAGGATAAGATTATTATTATACAGGATTTATTATATTATTATACAGCATTTATATAGTGCCAACACTTTGCTCAGCGCTTTACAATATAACGGGAGACAATACAGCAACAATACAGTTCAATACAAGAGGGAAAGGAGGGCCTTGATCCTGGGAGCTTACAATCTAGGATTAGCTCGGTATCTTATCTTGTTCACACAAATGTGGATTAGAAACGGTTCCCATAGAAGTCAATAGCCTGTAATCCACACCTGAACCTGAAGCCACTGCTCAGTAATCCCCCATGACTCTTTTTTAAAACAGCACTGAATCTGCACCGGACATATGTGAACAGGCACCATAGGAAGCAATGTTCTTTCGCATATAATGCGGATTGGATGTGGGTCAAACCGCATCCAATCCGCATGTGAATGGGCACCTCCTGTATGGAGAAACTAGTCGCATGCATTTCTCAGGTGTAATTTTGGCCCATTCTTCCACACAGTCTTCAAATCTTGAAGGTTCCATGGGCCTCTTCTATGAACTCTGATCTTTAGTTCTTTCTGTAGATTTTCTATTGAATTCAAGTCAGGTGATTGGCTGGGCCATTCTAGTAGCTTTATTTTCTTAGAAGCCAATTGAGTTTCCTTGGCTTTGTGTTTGGGATCATTGTCTTGCTGAAATGTCCACCCTCGTTTCATCTTCATCATCCTGGTAGATGGCAGCAGATTTTTATCAAGAATGTCTTGGTACATTTTTCCATTCATCCTTCCTTCAATGACATGAAGTTTGCCAGTACCGTATGCTGAAAAACAGCCCCACACCATGATGTTCCCACCTCCATAATTCACGGTTGGTATAGGGATTTTGGGGTGATGTACAGTGCCATTTGACCTCCAAACATGGTATATATTTTGGCACCCAAACAGTTAAATTTTGGTCTCATCTGACCAGACTATATTCTCCCAGTATTTTACAGGCTTGTCTAAATGTTATGCAGCAAACTTTAAACGAGCTTCAACATGCTTTTTCTTCAGCAATGCAGTCTTGTATGGTGAGCATGCATACAGGCCATGGTGGTTGAGTGCATTACTTATTGTTTTCTTTGAGACAATTGTACCTGTTAATTCCAGGTCTTTCTGAAGCTATCCACGACTGGTCCTTGGATCTTGGACAACTCTTCTGATAATTCTTTTCACTCCTCTGTCAGAAATCTTGCGAGGAGCACCTGGTTGTGGCTGGTTTATGGTGAAATAATGTTCTTTCCACTTCCAGATTATGGCCCCAACAGTGTTCACTGGCACATTCAGAAGTTTAGAAATCCTTCTGTAACCAATGCCATCAGTATGTTTTGCAACAATAAGGTTGTGAAGGTCTTGAGAGAGCTCTTTGCTTTTACCCATCATGAGACGTTTCTTGTGTTACATTTGGTAATGAGACCCCTTTATATAGGCCATCAGTTGAGACTGAACCAGCTGATATTAATTTGCACTGACAAGGGGCAGGATTGCTTTTTAATTACTGATTTCAGCTGGCGTCTTGACTTTCCATGCCTTTTTGCACCTCCCTTTCTTCACGTGTTCAATACTTTTTCCCTGTGTCATTCCTATTTGTTACACATTACCTAATTTCTGAACTTATTTGCTTTGGTGTCTTTGTATGTATGGATTGCATGGGTTGTTACTGACATGTTGTGAAAATTTCATGTCAATAGCACCTTTAGAAATATATTTACCGAGAAAAATGGTGACGTGTTTAATACTTATTTTACCCGATGTACATTTCTAATGACCTAGAGTTATACAGTGCATTTAGACACTTTGTTTAAAGCTGACCTCCAAGATTTTTAAATACACAGATGAAATACATATATGGGAGATGCTTTACCTGTCAAAAGGATTTAAGTCTGTCCATTCAGTTCTGAGATTTAGACAGCTCTGTCAAATAGCACAGCTCTGTCCAGCAGTGCAGGAGACCTGATTTTAATTTGCTGCAGTTCAGTTACTCTTACAGGTCTTGTCCCTCCCCCAGTCTGTGACTGGACAGAGAAGAAGCAGCATATTGATGAGCTCATCTCTCTTACTCAGTACTCTCCTCCCATACTCATGCACTATACTTACTGGCTCCTTGTCAGTGTTGCCCCCTCAACCCTTTAAAACTGAACACATATTAATGACACAGGTTCTGTGGCTGATTAAAGTGATAATTAAACTCACTCAGTGCCTTATCTGCATTAAATTAGCCTCAGAACCTGTGAAATTAAAGAGATGAGGCAGCAACCCTACTCCTTGTGCGGCTTCTCCGTCTCCCATTCTGAGTTCTGCTGCACAGGTATTATAATTCATATTCATGTACTGCATGTAAAATAAGGCATTTAAAGTCAAACCAAAGAACCAAAATGTAATATATTGCAGCTTACCAGTCCTTAGTTCTAGTGACTGCATTTGTTTTATTTTTTCAGGCTATTTCCTCATTATTTTCACCTGGTAAATCTGCCAATAACACATTTCCTGTCCCAGGGTGAAAACGCTCACTCATTGTGCTCTATCTATAAAAGAGCAGCATTGTCCCCCTAGTCTGGACTACAGATTTGGACCACAAGCACCTACCTCTCTCTGTGTTCAGTAGTTCATATTGAATTCAAGTTAACTTGTGTCAGCTGATAGTACTGTGTGAGATTTCAGTTTAGTGCACTAGAAGTTACAAGGGCAATGGATTTCTGGCACAAACAATAGGTTTTGTTCTGTAATTGCAAAAAAATTTACCTAGCCTGAAAAAAAGAAAACTAATGCAGCTGCAACATCTATGGACTGGCAAGCTGCAATAAATTACTTTTTTTGTTCTTGGGTTTAGATATACATACTTTAATGATGCATGAATAAACACAAAAGCTACATTCATGTACACCATATTGCCAAAAGTATTTTTTTCAGGAGTTGGGCTTGACCACTTAATTCCAGTGAAGGGAACTCTTAAGGCGTCAGCATACCAAGACATTTTGGACAATTTCCTGCTCTCAATTTTGTGGGGACAATTTGGGGATGGCTCCTTCTTGTTCTAACATGACTGCGCACCAGAGCACAAAGCAAGGTCCATAAAGACACAGATGAGTGAGTTTGGGGTGGAGGAACTTGACTGGCCTGCACAGAGTCCTGACCTCAACCCGAAAGAACACCTTTGGGATGAATTACAGTGGAGACTGTGAGCCAGGCCTCCTCCCCCGACATCAGTGCCTGACCTCACAAATGTGCTTCTGGAAGAATGGTCAAACCTTCCCATAGACACCCTCCTAAACCTTGTGGACGGCCTTCCCAGAAGAGTTGAAGCTGTTATAGCTGCAAAGGGTGGGCCAACTCAATATTGAACCCTACGGACTAAGACTGGGGGGCCATTAAAGTTCATGTTTGTGGAAAGGCCGGCCGACCAATACTTTTGTCAGTATAGTGTATGTATTTATATGTGCCAAGAGTTCAGCTTTAGGGGGCCTATTTTGCTGGTGAGTTGCTATCCAATCAGTGATGAGATTGATGATGAGATCACTGTTGATATTTGTTTACAGTTCAGATTGGATGTGTGCATTGCCATATCATATACTATAGCAGCTCAACCATTAATTATTATCATCACTGACAACATTACTATCATTTGAAGGGTAAGTGTAAGAAGATTTCGGCACCATGCACACTAGCGATTAACCTGTTGGCGTAGACCATATGCATATATGCGGCTTCTTGTTGGCTGGGCCTTGATGCCAAGAGGTTGCAAAGTATATATACGGGTCTAGAGCATGCGCCATGCGCTCTCCAGGAACATTTACCAGTGCCTCATGGAAAGGTTTCCGATCGCTACTTGCGATCAAGACCTTTCCGATCACGTGACCGCTGGGACAGCCAATCACGGTAGTCACATGACCCTAAACACGCCCCGCCTCCCAGCATCATAAACCCCTTAAAAGGCACCGGCACCAAGGGGTTACGCTCCTACAAGCTGTTATCAGCATTTTTTTCTGCTCCTAGAAGCTAAATAGTGTTACCCTATGTGTCCATGCACACTATTTTAGGCTAGTGGCGTTTTTTCAAGCTTCAGCGTTTAGAAGCAGAAAAAAAAATTGTTTTTGGGAGCATTTTTCTGGCAGAAAAAATGCTGAACGTTACTAAACGCTACTAAATTGCTCCTAACAGCTTTTTTCTAGCTTTTATTTCTAAAAGTACTGTAAAAACACTATAAAGGATTTACTTATCTCTTTATTTAGAATGAACATAATGATTTTTTTATTTTTGTAAATTTTACCTTAAACGAGGCATTCCCTGGATCTTTAATCCCAGGTGCATGCTCTCCAGTGCCATAACCCGCATAGCTGACCACCCAGGGTTCATGGAAGGTGATCCAGAGCTTCACTCGATCTCCGAAAGTGCTAAAGCAGAAATCAGCATATTCCCCAAAGGCATCAATGGTGGCTTCATTCTGCCAACCACCTGTTTCCTGTAGATCTTGGGGCAGATCCCAGTGGTACAGTGCCACGATTGGTGTGATATTTTCTTCTATTAATCTATCAATCAGTTTATTGTAGTATTTCACTCCCGCTGTGCTGACTGTGGACTTGAGCCCTGTTGGGAAGATCCGGGACCAGGAGATGGAGAAGTAGTAGATGGTAGTCTGTAGACTTTTTAGGAAGTATATGTCATAGTCAATCTTGTTGTAGCTGTCAGAGGCCACATTTCCAGTTCCATTGTCTTGAGCATTGCCTTGTTGTCCAAACACATCCCATATAGACTGTCCTCTTCCTCCCTCGGTCCAGCCTCCCTCCACTTTGAAAGCAGCAGAAGAAGAACCCCAAAAAATGCCAACAGGGAATGCTTCGGATAAGAAGGCATCACGCTCATCTGGTGTCTGGCTGGCAAACTTCTCCCACACAGTGGTGAACGATGACCGTGAAGATCTATCCAACTGCTTCTGTGATCTGCAACACAAGAAACAAGCAGCCTTTTCCCATGGTGCCAGGAACTTAAAGTGTTAATAAACCCAGGACCCTGCATTCACTATATCTGTTCTCCCCAGACCCTGCATTGACTATATCTGGTCCCCCTGGACCCTGTATTCACTATATCTGGTCCCCCCGGACCCTGCATTCACTATATCTGGTCTCCCCGAACCCCGCATTCACTATATCTGGTCTCCCCGGACCCCGCATTCACTATATCTGGTCTCCCCGGACCCTGCATACACTATATCTGGTCTCCCCGGACCCTGCATACACTATATCTGGTCTCCCCAGACCCTGCATCCCCTATATCTGGTCTCCCACAGACCCTGCATTCGCTATATCTGGTCTCCCCAGAACCTGCATTCATTATATCTGGTCTCCATGGACCCCGCATTCACTATATCTGATCTCCCAGGACCCTGCATTCGCTATATCTGGTCTCCCAGGACCCCGCATTCACTATATCTGGTCTCCCCGGACCCCGCATTCACTATATCTGGTCTCCCCGAACCCCGCATTCACTATATCTGGTCTCCCCGGACACCCGCATTTCACTATATCTGGTCTCCCCGGACCCTGCATACACTATATCTGGTCTCCCCAGACCCTGCATCCGCTATATCTGGTCTCCACAGACCCTGCATTCGCTATATCTGGTCTCCCCAGAACCTGCATTCATTATATCTGGTCTCCCTGGACCCCGCATTCACTATATCTGATCTCCCAGGACCCTGCATTCACTATATATGGTCTCCCACAGTACACACAACATGGAAGTGCAATTATTTACTAGATATAAACTGCTAAATACCTTTTCTCATCAGCAGTATACTGCAGTCTTGTGACTTCTATCAGTGTCCAGTAGAGCACTAGTGAAAGCTTGTAGGAGTTTTTATTCTCCTCTCACTGCCCTATGAGATTGTGTAACCCCTGATTCTTTGTCTGGACAGCACTGATTGGCCCTGTGCTAATCACATGCACCCTCCCAAGAAAAAGAAAAAAAAAAACTCTCTAGCAGTACACACCAAACTGAGCATATGCAGAGTGTCCCTGAGGCTCTGTTCTATCAGGAGATGAAATGGGGAACGTGGAAGAAGGGGAGGATCAGAGAAGACCGGGTCAAACATCCTTTTTACACAATGCAGAGGATTAACCCCTTAGGCAGGGGCGGACTGACCATTTGGAAACTCGGGCACTGCCCGAGGGCCCGGGGTCAGTAGGGGGCCCCATGAGATGCCCCTGGAACCTTTTTCGAGTTTGGACAAGGGCACAGGGGTCCCATGATCCCCTATTGCCCGGGGGCCCCATGAATTGTCAGTCCGCCCCTGCCCTTGGGTTCCACAGTGAGTATAACAAGCATGCTTTACTGCATATACAGACAGATTGTACTGTTGTGGGTTTAGTAACACTTTAAATGAGAGAAATCACTTTCCCAGAAAAAGTTACTTTATTGTATGCAGTTGTTGGATATAACATTTCTCTTGGTTGATAGGGTTTCAGTTGAAACTAAAGGATCTGTCCAGCCTTAACTAACGTTTTAGTATGCATACTGTGGGACACAGTAAATAGCTGTTTTTTTTAGCTGGGAGTCCTAGGAGGTAGGACAAGTTTTAACTTGAATTTTGTTCTCCTTGTTGAAGGTTGGAGGTAGAAGATCTATGGATAAGAGCATTTTATATGGCCTGGCAGTGTAACACTGGGCCACAACTCCGAGGTTCCCTGTAGACTTCACTATTGTTGTCGGAGTCCTAGTGTATCCTTGGTGTGTCCCGTCTGCTGCATCTCCTTCCCTCTGTGATGTAACTGCATCCCCCCTCGGCCAGCTGCCAGTTTGACACCCATGCCCTAGGCCACCTTCTCCTTTTAGGCAATTATAGATAGGTAATGGCCTAACTTCTCTGCCCTATTATTTGTTGCTGGCTTGATATTTTGGGTCATTTCTAAACTTGATGTTGGCTGGAGTCCTTTGCTATGGTGAAGGACTCATGTTTAATCCTTCTCATCAGTTGCTGGCTTTAATGGCATAGCTACAGAGAAGAAGACAGGCTTAAGGAGTGTCATGCTGATATTTTATGATTTCAAATCATAGCATAAAATAGCAGCGAGATCGGAAATTGAGGACGAATTTCATACCCGATGGGGGCTCATCCATCACCTTTGGGTGTAGGACACATCCAGGGTTTGTGATCCTGCTGCAGTGTTATGCTATGAGTACACACTAAAAATTATTATTATTTTTTACAGGATTTATATATAGCGCCAACAGTTTGCTTAGCGCTTTACAATATAACGGGAGACAATACAGCAACAATACAGTTCAATACAAGAGGGTTAGGAGGGCCTTGATCCTGGGAGCTTACAATCTGAAGGGAGGAGCAGGTGGTACAAAAGGTAATAACTGTGGGGGATGGACTGGTAGGAGGAATAGAAGATTCCGTTATTAGCTGAAGGCAGGATAGGCTTCCCTGAAGAGATAGGTTTTCAGAGATCTGCCAAAAAGTGGGCAGAGTAGCCGATAGTTGGATAGATCTAGATAGATTGGGGCAGAGTTAGAGAGTTCCAGAGGATGGGGTGAGGCTCTGGAGAAGTCCTGGAGATGAGCATGGGAGGAGGAGACAAGGGAGCTAGAGAGCAGGAGGTCTTGGGAGGAGCGGAAAGGACAGTTTGGGTGATATTTGGGTGAGACAAGAATTGGTGATGTAATTTGGAGCAGAGTTATAAACGGTTTTATATGTTATTGTTACTGTTTTGAATTTTATTTGTTGGGCAATGGGGTATCTTGGATTCAGTCATAGAAGCAAATTATAAAGTGTTTACTGTGCTGGAACATGGTTCCGATGAAATTAGGCTCATATAAAAATGTTTAAGAGGTTGTGGACAAAAGGGAACAGCATAGCATGTGCGGTGAATATCCGCATACAAATCCAGACAGGGGAAGGGTGCTGCTACCTGAGCAGATATATTTAAGGCTTGAAGCATAAAACCTCACCGTGCCCGACTCACAGTCTCCATCTACACAAATGTCCAACTCAAGAAGTGTCGGCAACAGGTGAATTCAGAGAAATCTTGTAAAAATATCCCATGGCACAACGTGTTTCAATCTATAATCAGAGCTTATTCATAGCTAGCTAGATAAAGAAGATTTCTCTGAATAAATAGGGGCACCAGAATTGAATGAAAAGAACCTCTGTCCAACTGTTAAGCATGGGGTTGGATCAATCATGCTTTGGGGTTGGTGTTGCAGCCAGTGGCACAGGGAACATCACCTGTTGCCAACACTTCTTGCATACCATGTGTGGTGGGTTGTCTGAAACTTAAAAGATTTTGGATCCACATACACAATTTTATATATTCCCTTACACAAGTCAACCTAAAAAACCTCCTCTATATGCTTTACTAAAAAAACACCTGAGGAGGCATTGGACACTCTAAAAAACTGATCTAGTTCATCTTCATAGCAGTCAATAGATCATGGAGACCAACATCCATACCATTTGAATGGGTGAACTCCAAATTCTCATGGTTAAGGATAAAGGAAAAATCGGTCATCCTAAATGATAAAGTGAAAACATTTAAAAAAAATATAGGATCTATGGATAAAATACAGTTGTGGTCAAAAGTTTGCATTCCCTGGCAGAAATCGTGACATTTTGGCATTGATATTGAAAATATGACCAATTATGCCAAAAAAAACTGTAGTAGGATAGTGATCATATGAAGCCATTTACTATCACATACAGTGCTCTGCATGTGATAGCATATTTGTCAGAAAACCTTTACTTTTCTTTCAGAATCAACACTTTCTATGGGACACTATACTACAAAATACTCCCACAAATGCCGGCCAGTGATTGCAAACAAGACTTGTTAATTTGCAAACACAAAAAAAGTATTGTTGCTAACAAATTCATTCAAGACCATGTTGCAAAAATGAATACATCCCAATGAAAGTCTTAGGAGCAAAGCTAAATTTTAGACAACAAAATCCTCATTAACAAGAATTCAACTACAGATGAGTCTAATTATTCATTAAACAGGAACCCAGCAGACAACTGATTATAAAAGGGTGTTACCCAACAAAGAAAACCCATTCCCATTTCATGCTGTCAGCAATGCACCACATGGAAGAGAAATGTCACAAGGCCTGAAAAAGAAAATATTTCTTTACAAAGAAAAGGTAAAAGGGTACAAGAAGATCAGCAAAGCTGTACGTTCCAGTCAGAATACAGTAACAAAAGTGATACAAAAATGTAACAAAGACGGGACTGCAACCATTTCACAGAGACGTCCAGGCTGTCTATGGAAGTTAACACCTCGACAGGAGTGTCTTCTGATGAAAAGGGTTGAAGAAAATCACCATGCAAGTCCATTGCAGTTAGCTAAAGAAGTAGAAAGCCAAACTGGTGTGATTATTTCCTATGACACAATACGGCATACACTGCAGAGGAATGGTATGCATGGGTGTCGTTCATGAAGGAAGCCTCTCCTAAAGCCCATGCACAAAAAACCCACCTAGAATTTGCCAAGGCCAATGCTGAAAAAGAAGAAGACTACTGGGACTCTGTGCTCTGGAGTGATGAGACCAAGATAAATGTTTTTGGAATTGATGACTTTAAAACTGTATGGCGTTGCAAAGGTGATGAATAGAGATGAGCAAAATTATTCAAAAATTTATTCGGCTGATTCGCCGAATTTGCGGGAGAAATTCGATTCGATGCGAATTTATTCGCTGCGAATTTAACTTATTAAGGGTTTCTAGGCTTCAGAGAGCCTTTATATTAGTGCAGAACACTACCTTTAATTTAAATGCCCTTGGAGTCTGCTGGGGAAAAGAAATAATACTGTCAGTCAGTATGACATGCAGATGAGTGCCGTCGATCTTAGAATCACCGCACACTTCACTCATTTGGGCAGTCACGGGGCACGACGAAGAAGAAGAAAGAAGAAGAAGAAGAAGAAGAATGAAAAGAAGAAGAAGAATGAAAAGAAGAATGAAAAGAAGAATGAGAAGAATGAAAAAAGAATGAAAAAAAGAAGAAGAATGAAAAGAAAGAAGAAGAAGAATGAAAAGAAAGAAGAAAATGAAAAGAAGAAGAAGAATGAAAAAGAAGAAGAAGAAGAAGAATGAAAAGAAGAAGAATGAAAAGAAGAAGAAGAAGAATGAATGAAAAGAAGAAGAAGAATGAAAAGAAAAGAATGAATGAAAAGAAGAAGAAGAAGAATGAAAAGAAGAATGAAAAGAAGAAGAAGAATGAAAAGAAGAAGAATGAAAAAAGAAGAAGAAGAAGAAGAAGAAGAATGAAAAGAAAAAAAGAAAAGAAGAAGAATGAAAAGAAGTAGAAGAAGAAGAATGAAAAGAAGAATGAAAAGAAGAAGAAGAAGAATGAAAAAAGAAGAAGAAGAAGAAGAATGAAAAGAAGAATGAGAAGAAGAATGAAAAGAAGAATGAAAAGAAGAATGAAAAGAAGAATGAAAAGAATGAAAATGAAAGAACGAATGAAAAGAAGAATGAGAAGAATGAAAAGAAGAATGAAGAAAGAAGAATGAAAAGATGAATGAAAAGAAGAAGAAGAAGAAGAATGAAAAGAAGAAGAAGATTGAAAAGAAGAATGAAAAGAAGAAAGAAGAAATGAAAAGAAGAATGAGAGAAGAAGAATGAAAAGAAAAGAATGAAAAGAAGAAAGAGAAGAATGAAAAGAAGAATGAAAAGAAGAAGAATGAAAAAGAAGAAGAAGAAGAATGAAAAGAAGAATGAAAAGAAGAAGAAGAAGAATGAAAAGAAGAAGAATGAAAAGAAGCAGAAGAAAAAAAGAAGAAGAATGAAAGAAGAAGAAGAAGAAAGAATGAAAAAGAAAAGAAAGAAGAAATGAAAAGAAGAATGAAGAAGAAGAATGAAAAGAAGAATGAAAAAGAAGAATGAAAAGAAGAATGAAAAAGAAGAATGATGAAATGAAAAGAAGAAGAAGAAGAATGAAAAGAAGAAGAAGAATAAAAAAAGAAGAATGAAAAGAAGAAGAAAGAATGAAAAGAAGAAGAATGAATGAAAGAAGAATTGAAAAGAAGAATGAGAAAAGAAAAAAGAAGAATGAAAAGAAGAGAAGAAGAATGAAAAGAAGAAGAAGAAGAAAAGAAGAATGAAAGAAGAAGAAGAAGAATGAAAAGAAGAAGAAGAAGAAGAAAAAAGAAGAAGAAGAAGAATGAAAAGAAAAGAAGAAGAATGAAAAGAAGAAGAAGAATGAAAAGAAGAAATGAAAAAGAAGAAAGAAGAAGAAGAATGAAAAGAAGAAGAATGAGAAGAAGAATGAAAAGAAAAATGAAAAGAAGAATGAGAAGAATGAAAAGAAGAAGAAGAAGAAGAAGAAGAAAAGAAGAAAAGAAGAAGAATGAAAAGAAGAATGAAAAAAAGAAGAAGAAGAAAAAAAAGAAATGAGAAGAAGAAAAGAAGAAGAATGAAAAGAAGAAGAAGAATGAAAAAAAGAAAGAATGAAAAGAAGAAGAAGAATGAAAAGAAGAATGAAAGAATGAAAAGAAGAATGAGAAGAAGAAGAATGAAAAGAAGAAGAAGAATAATGAAAAGAAGAATGAAAAGAAGAAGAAGAAGAAGAAAAAAGAAGAAGAAGAAGAAGAAGAAGAAGAAGAAGAAAAGAAGAAGAAGAAGAATAAAGAAAAGAAGAAGAAGAAGAATGAAAAGAAGAATGAGAAGAAGAATGAAAAGAAGAATGAAAAGAAGAATGAGAAAGAAGAATGAAAAGAAGAAGGAGAAGAATGAAAAGAAGAAGAATAATGAAAAGAAGAAGAATAATGAAAAGAAGAATGAAAAGAAGAAGAAGAAGAATGAAAAGAAGAAGAATGAAGAAGAAGAAATGAAAAGAAGAATGAAAAGAAGAATGAGAAGAATGAAAAGAAGAAGAAGAAGAATGAAAAGAAGAAGAATGAAAAGAAGAATGAAAAGAAGAAGAAGAAGAATGAAAAGAAGAAGAAGAAGAAGAATGAAAAAAGAAGAAGAATGAAAAGAAGAAGAAGAATGAAAAGAAGAAGAAGAAGAATGAAGAATGAAGAAGAAGAAGAAATGAAAAGAAGAATGAAAAGAAGAAGAAGAAGAAGAATGAAAAGAAGAAGAATGAGAAGAAGAATGAAAAAAGAATGAAAAGAAGAAAAGAAGAAAGAAAAGAAGAAGAAGAAGAAAAAGAAGAAGAAGAAGAAGAATGAAAAGAAGAATGAAAAGAAGAAGAAGAAGAATGAAAGAAGAAGAGAAGAAAGAATGAATTGAAAAGAAGAATGAAAAGAAGAAGAAGAATGAAAAGAAGAAGAATGAAAAGAAGAAGAAGAAGAAGAATGAAAAGAAGAAGAAGAATGAAAAGAAGAAGAATTCCAGTACAGCAAAAAGTGTATCTGCAGAGAGCTCCGCTATTTCTGACAGTTCTCTGACAGTTCCTTCACATTTACAGCGGTTGAAACATTGTATCTATTTGTTTCCGAATAAAAAAAACATCTGTATCCTAAATGGAAACAAATAGATACAATGTTTCAACCGCTGTAAATGTGAAGGAATGTCAGAGAACTGTCAGAAATAGCGGAGCTCTCTGCAGTGACACTTTTTGCTGGCTGATCGGGGAAAATTCGATTCGTGCATCCGAAGTTTGCTAAAATTCGGATTCGGTGCGAATCGAATTCCTAATATTCAAAACGAATTCCACTTCGCCAATTCGATTCGCTCATCTCTAGTGATGAACACATAGAAAAATGCATGGTGCCTACAGTGAAACATGGTGGTGGCAGTGTCCTTCTGTGGGGCTGCATGAGTGCTGCTGGTGTCGGGAGCTGCATTTCACTGATGGTATCATGAATTCACAGATGTACTGCTCTATATTGAAAGAGAAGATGCTACCATCACTCCGTGCCCTTGGACGTTGTGCAGTTGTCCAACATGACAATGATCCAAAACACACATCTAAGGCCACTGATGCATTTCTGAAGAAGGAGGGAAGAAAGGACAGGGAGAGAAAGTGATTCAGGTTCCAAGTATGTCTCCTGATCTGAACCCAATCAAACACCTATGAGGAATTCTGAAGAGACAAGTTGAGCATCACTCTCCATCCAGCATCTAGGCTCTAAAAGAGGGTTGTTCTTGAAGAATGGAAAAAGATCGAAGTTGCAATATGTCGCCAACTTGTTCATTCCATGCCTAGAAGACTTGGTGCTGTCCTTACAAATCATGGAGGTCATACAAAATAGTAGATATAGCAGTTTTTGTTGTGGGGTGTATTCATTTTTGCATCAACTAATTTGAGTAAAACTGAAGATTTTGGAATCTAAGTTATTATTATTAACTTTACTTTCATGTAATGAGCTAAACAAATGTTCTATAAAACTCAGTTTTATCAGAATTTTGGAAATTGTTCTTGTTTTCATTGAGATATTGATTAAAATCTTACTTTTTGTCAAAAAAGGTGTACTCATTTATTCTGAGCACTGTAGTTGTTTGGCGCTGATTAATAGTTTCCATTCCCGGGAATGTTTTGCCTTGGTACAGACACACAAGGTGATAATACACACAAACGTCAAAATGGAAATTAAAGGTTAATTGCAGCACATTGGGGTTTATTTACTAAAGCTGGAAAGTGCAAAATCAGGTTCACTTCTGCATAGAAACCAATCATCGTCTAACCCCAGCTTGTTCAAATAAGCTTTGGCAATAAAACCTGTGCAGAAGTGAGCCTTATTTTCCACTCTCCAGCTTTAGTATATAAACCCCAGTGGGGCTAAGCGGTCAGCCATCTGGCAGCACTAGGGTTGTTGGTTCAAATCCCAACCATGGCACCACCTGCCTGGAGTTTTCATGTTCTCCCTGTGCCTGTGTGGGTTTCTTCTGGGTACTCCAGTGTTCTCCCACACTCCAAGGACATGCTGGTAGGTTAATTGGATCCTGTCTAAATTGGTCCTAGTATGTGTATGTATAAATGCAAGTTACGGGCATTAGATTGTATGCTCCTTGAGGGTTAGGGACTGATGAGATTGTAAAATATATATGTAAAATGCTGCATAAAATTGATGGCGCTGTATAAGTACCTTTAATAAACAATAATAATTTCCTATAATTTTCTGTGGCTTTTTAGTTTGGAATTAGTGTCTGTGTATAAATAGTTTGCTAGCTCTCACGTGGATGCACTGAGTAGGCTAGATACTGAGCCAGGGGGAGCAGAACTGTCAAAAGACCTGCGTAAAAAAGTAATGGAAAAAATTAGCTCTATGGTCGAGTTGCCAGAAAGAAGCCTTTACTGCATCAATGCCACAAAAAAAAAAGCCCGATTACAATATGCCCAACAATACCTTGACATGCCTAACCAGGCCTTTTTGTGGCATTGGTGCAGTAAAGGATTCTTTCTGGAAACTTGACCATGCAGCTAATTTTTGTTCAACTATTGTCATATTGTGCGCCTTAAAAACAAACACACCATCTTTTTTCCAGAGCAGCCTGTATGTTTCCTGAGGTTACCTGTGGGTTTTTTTTTTTGTATCCAAAACGATTCTTCTGGCAGTTATGGCTGCAGTCTTTCTTGGTCTACCTGACCTTGGCTTGGTATCAAGAGATCCCCAAATGTTCCACTTCTTAATAAGTGATTGAATAGTACTGACTGGCATATTCAAGGCTTTTAATAACCTTTTATATCCTTTTACATCTTTATAAATTTCCCATTACCTTGTTACACAGGTCTTTTGACAGTTCTTCTCTGCTCCCCATGGCTCAGTATCTAGCCTGCTCTGTGCATCCACATGAGAGCTAGCAAACTCATTATTTATACACACAGACACTAATTGCAATTTAAAAAGCCACAGATGTATGAATGTGGGAAATTTACCTTTAATTGCCATTTTAACCTGTGTGCCTGTACCAAGGCCAAACATTCCAGGATATGTAAACTTTTAATCCGGGCCATTTGGGTGATTTCTGTTATCATTATGATTTAAAAAGGAGCCAAACAACTATGTGATAATAAATGGCTTCATATGATCACTACTCTAAAATAAAAGACAGCTTTTTGGCATGATCAGTCATATTTTCAATATCAATGCCAAAATGTCACCATTCCTGCCAGGGGATGCAGACTTTTGGGCACAACTGTATATTACTGGCAGAGCATAAAGAACACAAAGATTTTGAACCCATGAGTAAGATAATGGATAACAGATTATTTAAGTTGAATTTAGACCCCCTATTGCCCCTTCTCCCTTTCTCTCCCTTTATCTCTCCTCACTTTCACTTTTCTATTTCTCAGTACTAATCTCTTTGGTCACACCTGATCTCTTCAATGGTTTTATAATGGGCCAGATGTTGCGCCCAGTTTTGAATGGAGTTTCTCATGACATATAATTCCACAACAATGTATATGGAAAAAGTAGCCTAACAAACTGGCAAATATTGGTTTGATTGTCTATATTGTTCTGGACTGTTAGCCCAGGTTCACACTAATATGTGTGTGGTGCAATTTGAGACATACATTTCATATGGCTCATATCACACCGCATCCGCACCAAAAAGGTGCAGAACCCTTTTTTTGGTGCAAATCACTTGTGAATTCTGTGTGGTGCAATTTGAGCCATACATTTTGTATGGCTCATATCGCACCGCATCCACACCAAAAAGGTGCAGGACCCTTTTTTTTGGTGCAAATGCACTTGTGAATTCGGTGTGGTGCAATTTGAGCCATACATTTTGTATGGTATATCGCACCGCATCTGCACCAAAAAGGTGCAGGACCCTTTTTTTGGTCTGCACTAGAACGGATTGCATGGGTATTCACACCCATGAAATCCGATTCTGCACATTGCAACGAGTTTTGTGGACCAGTTTTGGGATGTTGTTCACTTAACATACAGACCCGCATCGGTCTGCATTCCTGTGAAAATCACATGAGAATTCTGTGTGGTGCCATTTGAGCCACACATTTTGTATAGCTCATATCGCACCAAAAAGGTGCAGGACCCTTTTTTTGGTCCGCACTAGAATCGGATCGCATGGGTATTCACACCCATGCGATCTGATTCTGCACATCGCACTGCGTTTTGCAAACCAGTTTCGGGATGTTGTTCACTTAACATACACACCCGCAGCAGTCCGCATTCCTGTGCGAATCACATGCGAATTCTGTGTGGTGCGATTTGAGCCATACATTTTGTATGGCTCATATCGCACTGCATCTGCACCAAAAAGGCGCAGGACCCTTTTTTTGGTCCACACTAGAATCGGATCGCATGGGTATTCACACCTATGCGATCTGATTCTGCACATCCCATCGCATTTTGCGAACCGATTTCGGGATATTGTACACACCCACAGAGGTTCGCATGAACGGGGTGCGACTGTGATGGGGTGCGACTGTGATGCGGTGCAGAATTCGCACAGACACTGCTATGAATTCCGCACCGCATTAGTGTGAATCCAGGCTAAGTCTGTATTTGACCCAGGCAGAATATGTTTCTTATTTACTTTTGATAAAAACAATAAAAACTAAAGAAAAGCTACAATTTCTGGGGAAATTGTGTGAAGTGTTCTTGCCTCCACCAGTAGTCTAGGGCTTGAAATGAGGGAGTGATGGCAGTTTAGAAATCATGTCCTGATTTTTCATCTCACACTCTAGCTTTTGTCACTCTGCTGCCTGCACACACACCTGGGTTCCTATGGCAACTCACTCTACAGCAAGGGCAGAGAAGAGCGGGTAAAAGCAAACTGCTCCAACTTGCTTACTTCACTGGCGGCTTGCCATCTTCAAACGGTTGTAGTTTTAACATTATAAATCCTACACTGAAGAGCTTTATATTGTGAGAATCATAAGACCCAGACCTACATTTTGTTGCATAGTATGTCTCTGAAATATTAAAAATGAAGGCACAGTCGCAGTTTAGAAATTGCCCTTTAAATTTGAGGTGGCTAGAGTGGAGTTTCAATGAATGTCAATGGGCGGCGTGAGTTGCAAACAAATGGTCATATTGTGAAAACTATCAGGACTATGGCTTAGCCATGGACATTTTTAGTGGCAGCAGGGATAGCTGAACGTTTTGATATAAGATTTGTGTAGGTGGACTTGAAAATGAGGGAGTGATGGCAGTTTAGAAATCATGTCCTGATTTTTCAGCTCACACTCTAGCTTTTGTCAGCTCCCACTCTAGTCTTGAACATTCCGCCATTCATTCCTATGGGACAAATTTCACCACAAAAACGCCGATATTTCGTGAACCATTCGGCAAAACGTTCCACAAAGTAATAGCACACTAATCGGGAACAATCCGCATGTTTCGGTATATTACTGTCTATGTAGTGTAAAAACTGTGGGAGGAGTTAGGGTGGTAAATTTGGTTATAATAGTAAGAATATATATGTGAGATAACAGTAAGTGGTCTTGCCATGCAAGAACACTTAATCATTGAAAGAGAAAATCTCTCAATTCAACAAGACACTCCCGGGGCCTGCCTTCTTCTGTATCAGTACACAGTTTGGGCATTGCTAGGGTTCCTGAGAAGTACTGCTGCATGGTCTGGGCTTGGTTTCCCCGGCAGTGGCAAAGAATGTATTTGCTTGGTTCACACCAGTGTGACTTGTCATGTGATGTGACAGTTCCAAATCACTTGACAAGTTGCACCCTGTTTGTGCCTATGGAACTGTTCAGATCGGCGTGACTCCGCCTCTTGCGGTGAAGCACCGACTTTGAAAAAAGGTTCCTGCATTATTTTTGGCGATTTCATGTGCGACTTGCATAGACATCTGTGCATGAAGTCACACAGATGTCAGGCAAGCTGCACATGACCAACGGCTTTGAAATCACGCTACTACAAGTGAAGCTGCACATGACCAACGGCTTTGAAATCACGCTACTACAAGTGAAGTAGCGTGATTTCAAAGCCGCATTCAGTGTGAACGAAGACATGGATGTTGAATGAATGTGCCGAGAGGAACCAGGCTTTCATCTTCACCTTGCTTTGGACTTGTTGCCTTCTCCTAGATCAGTCTATGTTGGCACATTTTTTATTGTTGAGATGGCCTTCCTCCTAGACCAGGGGTGTCAAACTGAATTTTCATGGCGGGGCCGCCTCAACATTATGGGCCAGTTGTACCTGTAAGACTAGATGGCGTTTGGCGCCAAATTTGAGCCGATGTGAACTTCTGCGGCCATGCAAGGTACTGGCAGGGGTGCCAGATCTCCTAACACCTCTGCCGAGGACAGAGCCCTGACAAGCCAGTTGTACCTGTAAGACTAGATGTCCCGAATGCCTCACCCTCCTCTACATCACAATACACCCTCCTTACCTGCTGCTGCTGGGAAGAAGTTGGAGGAGGAG